GAGAGAGAGAGAGAGAGAGAGAGAGAGAGAGAGAGAGAGAGAGAGAGAGAGAGAGAGAGAGAGAGAGAGAGAGAGAGAGAGAGAGAGAGCAAAATTCAGACAAACGAAAAACAACAACGGAATCCATCACTGAACAAGATTCTGCCATCAATTGTGGCCTTCAACCTTTTGGGCCTTTCTTGGCAGCATTCTTTTCTTTTTCGCAAGCGAGTTTATAATGACCGGGCGTTCTATTCGGGTGAAGACGGTAGTAAGACCCCTGTTCAAGCATGACGTTCCAGACGTGTTGTCTGACGGTTTGTTAGGCAATGTCCCAAGGATGTTCTCAGGGAGCGCCCAAAAGAAAATAATAATAGTAATAATATAATAATAATAATAATAATAATAATTCTTGATCTGTTCTCGATGGCTGATCATCCCCACATTCCAAAAATTTATGACATTTTGCCGAAATCATGGGTGGTTTTTTTTTTCCCCCTTTTCTTGAGAGTTTGCTGAGATCACCGACGTCACTCATTAATCCTATTTGGCTTTTCCATCATCTCACCACCATCACTCGTTATCCCACTTTCTTTCTCCATCAATCATCGTCAGCAAGGTATGGTAGGTGCCTTCATCAGCAAATACGACTGTATTTAGCTCGAAAGAGGGTTTGTATACGTTCAAAATGACTCACATTGTTAGCAATTCTGGGTTTCATGTCAGTGGAGATAGTGGTGATATTGCCACTTCACAAAGGACTCCCTTCTCCCACCCCCATCCCCCATCTTCCCCCAAACATAATGCACCCTGAAAATGAACGTATGCAAGGTATGTTTCCGGCCCGATACAGTCCAAATGAGGGTGCGTTGCATTCGGGGGAAGACGGGGGGTAGTCATTGTCAATGTCAACTCAAGGGTGCCATTTTACATAAGCAAAATGCATAGGTATCTGTTCGCACCGGCTTGTGGTGAAGCAATTGGGACACACTGCTTATGGAAAGGTGGCGTTGTGTAACGATAACTTGAAGATCACACATTTTTCTAGTGTAGGTTGCCACCACTGCATTTGGATGGCACAACTTGAAGTTCGCACATTTTTCTAGTGGGCCCGCAGGACCAATCAGCCATTGCACAGTCACAGCAATTTCTGACACCTGTGGATCTTGACACTGCTTTTTTTGGATGCCTTGGGGGGTTTAAACCGCCACTGCATGAGATGCATCCGACCCTTGTTTTTGGAAAATGTGACCCCAAAGGAAAGATGGGGTTTAAAAAAAAGAAAAAAAAAACATGGCCGGATGGTTGAGTCCATTTGCATGGCTGCAATTTTGCCATGCGGCGATTCTCCGAATCTCCGCAATCTGTGGCTCGTTGCAATGAGATACAGAAAACACACCACACTCACACACAGGCAGCATGGCGAGATTCTAGCCACACAGGCAGGCAGGGAGGAGAGAGGGTGGGGGGGGGGGGGGGGGGGGGGGGGGGGGGGGGGGGGGGGGGGGGGGGGGGGGGGGGGGGGGGGGATGGGATTATGGCTTGCTGTCCTGTGCATGGCTGTGTGATATGCTGTCCTAACTAACAACATGGACAACAAGTATGCACCGCGCACGGACGAGCGCATGCACCCTTGCTCCTTGCGCTCCCCTTTTCCCCCCTCCCCTCAAAACACACACACTAGCATACGCACAGCCCCACATACACACCCATCCACCCACCCACCCACGTACAGATGCACATGTACACACACACATGCCCGTCACAGAAAAGTTTCCTAGATTTACTACCGTTCTTGTCAGGAGTTTGGATCAACGGTCTGCCTTCGTTTGCAGGGTTGGTGTGAGTGAAGTCGACCACTTTTCTCTCTTAGGGGTATCGCCAACTCTAGGCGGCGTGGTTAAGGGTATTTATCCATCAGTCAAATGCATCCTGGGGAGACTGTCGGGGGAATCCACCTCCTCACGAGTTAGTGGCAGTCCAACGAAACACTCTGCATAGTCACATTCTTTTTGTGAGTTGTATATACCCAACATGACAACACACACCCACCCACACACACACACGCACGCACACACACACACACACACACACACACACACACACACACACACACACACACACACACATTTACACACACTTTTTATGCATGTTTGTTTCTCTCTTTTGTATGCTTTCTTCTATTTTTTTTTTCTTTTTGTGTCCCTAGCTGAGCACCCTTACGCAGTGCCAAACAGTCGGTCATTCCTCGTTTGGAGTGCCTACAGCACTGTTAGCGGGGCCTCTCAGTTTGGCATATCTGTGTTACCTGCGGGTGATGACAGATGTTCGTCTGAGCGAGTTCCTGGCTCGACAGGTGGTGGCAACCAACAGTCTGTGGTGTTCAATCGTGATGCGAGTAGGTGCTGCTTTGCTCGGTGTTGGATGTGTGGACTGCCTCATCTGCGCTCCGCCGCTGCCTTGCTGCGTGTCCCGCTTGCTTCGCAGGTGGTTCTCTGCAAGCCGCTGTGTTCGCTGAGTGCTGTGGCCATGTTGTTGGTGTTGCCTTGCGCTTCGCTGCTCCGCTGCCTTGCCGTCCTTCCACTGGCCATGCCTTCCATGTCCTTTGGTTGCGCACCATGCAATACAGTCGCCTTGTTGGTGTTGCCTTGTGCTTCACCGCATGGTTGCTGTGCTGCTCATCCGCTCGCCCTGTCGACCCTTGCAGTGTTGTTGCCTTGTGCCTCACTGCGTGGTTGCCGCGCTGCATGTCCTTGCGTCCCGTGTCGTTACTTGCAGGCGTTTTAGGCGTTGTGCAGCCGTGTTGCCTCTACTGTGTTGCCTAGTGCTCCGCAGGGTTGCTGCCCGTTGCTATGTTCCGCTTGGGGACAGTCTGCCTTCAACATGGGTCAATGGGTTCATGACCCAAACCATCCAATACTGAGATTCCGCAGATTGTCAAGGGTTCAGCCTCCTGACGAGTCGGTGCAACTCCAACGAAACGACCTTGTTATCATCAGCTTTTCTTTTTTTTTCGGTCTTTGTTAGTCTTTTGTGACTTGTGTTTTTTTTGGTTGTCTGTTTGGTGTGCTTGCATGTCGTCTGCCCTCCCGCCTCCCACGAGCCTGCGGTTTATCTCCTGGTGTTGGCTTCTTTTTTGGACTTGTCTGTTTGGTTTGCTTGTTTGATCTGCTTGCCTGTTGTCCGCCCTCATGCCTCCCTCATGCCCTCCATCCCATGTGGGACTCTGGAAAGCTGGTCATGGTAAGCCATGGACGTATGAGATAGCTTCAGAGAAGTAGAGTGGCAGCAGAATGCGTCAGTTTGGATATGACCAGGGCCTGGTGTACCATATGGAAGGGGGTGCATGGCGGGTACGCTGTGGGATATACTACAACACACACACACACACACACACAAACACACACACACACACACACACACACACACACACACACACCTGATGTCTGCTGGCATCTTCTTGCTCTCTCCCTCTCTCCTCTCTTTATTCAATTGCTCTGTCCTTCTCCTTAACGCCTCATGTTCTTCCTTCCCCTCTCCTTCTCTATCCTCATCTTATCCTCTTTCCTCTCAATCCCAAGCTTAATAATACGGTTAATACCATTATTACTATATATATCACCAAACAGAACTGCCCGGTAAACCGTAGGCAGACAGAGGGAGGCAGAAAAGGACAACAAACGAGGGGCTGTGACAAACTGTTTCGTCGGAGGACTTGTATATAATGATAACAGCTGATCCTTTTTTTTCCAAGCCACCCAGGACCCAAATGGGTGACCCACCCAGCTGGGTGGCTGGGCAGCCTTCTGGCCAAGGCGTAGATAGGCCATATGGCGGAAAAGTAACCCAGGAGGAAAGTGAAAAATTGGGCAAAGCTGATTATTTCCACCTTTCGTGCTGCTTTTTTGGGTGTTTCGTGTCTTCCTTATTTTCGGTGTTTGCCCTGTGGATGTGTGAGATAGGTTTGGTTCAAATTGGTTCGACTCTTTAGTGCTTGTGGGGGCAGGGAGGGGGGGGCGGGGGCGGGGGTAGGGGAAGGGCGTTAAGCATTTCTCATATATTGCATATGCATGGGTATTAAGAATGGGAAGCCTGCGCATCCACGGGCTGCAAATCTGACGTCCTGGTAAACTCCTCTTTTTTTTTTTTTTTTTTTTTTTTTTTTTTTTTTTTTTTTTTCCCCCCCCACCCCAACCCACCACCCACCAAAAAAAAAAAAAAAAAAAAAAAAAAAAAAAAAAAAAAAAAAAAAAAAAAAAAAAAAAAAAAAAAAAAAAAAAAAAAAAAAAAAACAGAAGTCGAGAGAACTCAGAAAAATAAAACCGTACAACTTGCCTCAAACAAAAATATCCGACAACGGCCCTTTCAACGCGTTCTCTGAGATAGAGGCAGAGGTTGCTTTCACCACATTGTTGACGTTCACAAGCTGCGTGAACAGAGGGATGGTGGAAAACGATTCCAGCAGCATGGACATAATGGTCAGCGGATCTGCAGAATCCCCAACAGTTGCGCCAAACTGCTCCAGTCTCAGGAACGCTGCCGCATCCATGTCTCGTACCTGGCACTGAAATACACACACCAAGCCATGCAGACGCATGTTCACAGAATTGCACAATCACACATGCGCATGCACGTCCACACACGCATGTGTGCACATACACATGCAAGCACTTGCGTGCATACATACCCATGCACACAAGTGTGTGCACATACCCATGCACACAAGCACGCACGTGTGTGTGCACATACACATGCACGCACGCGTGTGTGCACATATACATGAACACACGCGTGTGTGCGCATACACATGCACGCATGCACACACACAGACACCACATGCATTGGCAACAACACATCGGCCACACAAAAAAATGTGTGCGCACACACACACATGCACAGACATGCGTACACACACACACACACACACACACACACACACACACACACACACACACACATACACAAACACATGCGCACATACACAAACACATGCACACATAGCATGTCAAATAAAAGCATTTCGAATCAAATCCAACCATAGAAGCAAGGACAAAGCACTTCGTGGAAACGTCTCCACTGAGAAAAGTTTCAAAGTGGCAATCAGACGTCGAGTGAGAAATTCTCTCAAGCCGACTTGTTGGATACCTGTGTGAAAAGTTGATAACACTGTGATTAGTTCCTCGAGGAGGATTCACAAAGAACCTGCAATATCAGTGTGTCCGCCGCATTACCGCGTCAAGCGTTCCACAAACACGGGTTTAGGTCTGGTCAGAACCAGGTAGACAGGTATAGGTTACAACACGTAGAGTACCTGGTATAAAGAAGAACCTCCTGGTTTTCAGGCCGGAAGGGGTCCAGCAGCTTGAACCAACATTGTTTTGGGAGTCTAGGGTTTAGGGTTAGCTTGACACAGAGCTGGGCGGGCCACCACCAGGAGGGTTGGAGCCTTGACGGCGGGCCTGTGCATGCCCCTGTGCCTCATCCTTCATATAGCCTGTGCACGCCTCTGTGCCTTTCGTCCACAAGGGCCTGCAGACAGGCTAAATGCACCTCGGGCAACTCGCCCTGATCGCACTCCATTTCCCTACCTTCTTGCACCGAACATAACCCATATGTGCTGTAAACGAATACAACGCATAGGGTGCGTTCTACTCGAAGACAACGCATATGTGTTCTATTTGAATAGCCCTAAATTTCGAATAAAACTCATAAGCGTTCTATTCGATTATTTTTTCTCGAATTCGAAAACTCGAATACAACACATGTGATGTGTTCGAGGGAAGAAGGTAGTCATACTGCACAGCACAAGAACCATGCACTAAGGTGCTGACGTGGCATGGCTGACATGGCACCTAACCACGGGTCATCCAACTGCTGGTGTGCCACAGCTGACATGTTATCCAATTGCGGGCATGCCTCTGGCAACATGTCACCTCATGCTGATGTGGCACAGCTGATATGTCACCCAACTGCTGATGTGGCACAGCTGACATGTCACCCAACTGCTGACATGGCCCACTGCAGCATGTCACCGAATTGCTTAACATGCCACTGCCATTGCATCACCCAACTGCTGACGTGGCACTGCTGACATGGCACCTTACCAAGTGCTGCGCAATTCTAGCCCGAACCAACCCAAACTTAAACCAAATCGACCAAGCCCGTACCTAAGCCCCGACCTGAACACCAACACACCACATGCCACCTCAACGCAAACAGGTGGACAAACAAGCAAATAAACAAATAATACGACTGGCATTCAAGCAACGAAGCAAATAGGGTTGAGTAATGAGACACTTACATAGGTCATGACTGCAGCTACTAAGCCATCGACTACATTCCCAGAGGGAAGTGAAACCGAATACTGGTTTCTGCGTTCATCCCGTTTCCGCTGCGTGTACAGAAAAAAAGAGAAAGTCGAAACAATTTACAACAACAGAAAACATGAAAGAAGCAAGCTGTCAATCAAACCAGATTGTCACATCGGACAGTCCCAATATCCATTACTGATGTCCCACCTTTAATTACGTTTAATTAACTTTAATATTTAGCATACTCGCGGCGCATCACGTGCGCGCTGTGGTGTACGCTGCACATGCACATGATGCGACGCACGGCCAAAATGGGGGTCAACAAAAACAAGGGAGGGGTTCGGTGTAGAGAGCAGGCATGCATCACAGGTTTACCAAGGACCCTCGCAAAAAAAGAAAAAAAAAAAAAAAAAAAAAAAAAAAAAAAAAAAAAAAAAAAAAAAAAAAAAAAAAAAAAAAACAAGGGCACTGCTGACATCCTACTGCTATTCTACCTCTATGACGCTCGTCGGCGTCGGAAAAGAAAAGAGTAGATCCAGTCAACGGTTTGCCAACGTAACTCGACTGAAACAATTGAGAGAGGGTGTGTACTCCCCATTCGGCAGAGGGTGGGCTTCCCGTCTGTCAGAGGGTTCACCGTCTGTTTCCGATTGGCGCTTGATTTTTTGGGGCCTTGTCATGGCCCTTACATGATGGTGGAGATGCACAATCTTGCTAAAGCTCTACTGGTATTTGTTGGCTCTGGAGGATACTGTGCGCAAAGCTGAGTCGGGAGAGCGTCACAGGGCCGGGGGGGGTTGGGGGTTGGGGGTTGGGGTGTGGTGTGGTGTGGTGTGGTGTGGTGTGGTGTGGTATTCAGTTGTGTCTTGCCACGTCGTGTAGGGCTGTGTTGTGTGGTGATGACACAAAATAAAAAGACAAGAAAGGACAAGTCAACGACAAAAAGACAAAGACACAAACACAGACAAAGACAAAGACAGACACAAAAAAAGACAGACAAAGATAGAGACAAAAAAGACAACGACAAAGACAACGACAAAGACAAAGACAAAGACAAAGACAAAGAGAAAAACAAAGACAAAGACAAAGACAAA